CAGGTGTAGGGGCCAGGCCCTGAGGAGGGACACTGTCTTTCTCCTCCTTAGCCAGGCGCCCGGCCTGGCTGGGGTCAGGGACGTCTTGTGACACTGACTGCCTCCTGCATCCCTGCCCCAGGACCTCAGGGACCACAGGCGGGGACAGTCGTTGATCCTCCCCTGGCCGCTGACTCTCAGCCCCGGGGTCTGCCCAGGGAGAGCTCTGTCTCCCAGAGGGTCAGGGGGCCCCTGTGACCTGCTGCTCCTTACCCACCGTCATCCTGGGTGAGCACAGGTCAGGACACCAGACGCTACTGAGGGTGACATCTCCTGGATGAGCGGCTGGGGACTTTGCCTCTGTCCCCAGGCCTCGGACACCAGAGGATCCCCCAGAGACAGAAAATAACCCCACACTGCCCAAGACTTATTTTTAAGCTTTGGATTCTGAAATTTTCCTACTGCCACCTTCTTTGTGAAGCCCGTTTTTCAATAGGGACAATATTCCTGGGGAGGGGGGGACAACATGGAGTTGATCAAACCAGCTGACACATCTGGTCCTCCAAGAGAAATCTGGACTGGGGGGAGAAGAGCCATTCCCAACTGGCGAAATAGTGACGTTCCCTTGTCCTTATTTTGTGTAAGAAAAATAAATAATCTGATGTTAACTCATCAAAAGAAAAAAAAATATTCTCACAAATGCCACTGTTTTTGATGTGGGTAATGCCCTAGTCTTCCATTTTTATTTTTTTCATGTAAGCTAATTAAAAATATTTTTAAAAAACAAAAACAAGTGGTCTCTCTGCTCGAAAGTTGGAAGTCAATCTTTTCATAATTCCTGTGGCTGAAATACATATTTTTTAGTCTGGTACATTAGTGGAAAAAAAAGGTGGTCTAGGAATCAGTAATGGAGCTTAACACAGCTCTGATATGAACTTGGTGGGTGGCCTTTAGTCAGTATAGGCTAGGTGATGGTACAGTAACAAATGATCCCAGGCAAACGAGAATATAGGTAGCTTACCTTAACAAGGGCTTATTTCTTATTTACTAGCTAAGAGTTGGCCCTGGCCTTCTCCCTTCATCTTTGATCTGGAACCCAGGCAGAAAGAACCTTCTGTCTCTCCTTGGGACACTTCTTGTGATAAAAAAAAAAAAATAAGGAAACAGAACATGACAGGACATGTTGAAAGGGACACCCAGCATTTCTTTCTATGTCATTGGCCAAAAGGGAGCAAAATGGCCCAATCTGGCGGGAGAGGAGTAAAGAAAAAAGATCATTTGACAAAGAGAGGCACACAAATGCCTCAAGGAGTACTGGTCTACCAAAGTTATCATGGGAGAGGCAGCCGACCCGGGTTTCTCCTGTGTGAAAAGGGGAGACAAGGGCGGAGCATCTCCAACAATCCTGTGCTTCTGATAAAGTGACTGTGTCAGGTTTGAGAAGCTGGACAAGATACACCTTGGAGAATTCAGGCTGAGAGTGATTGTCCTCTGCTAGGTGACTCTACTACAGTGCCTGGATATGGAGCAAAGAAATAGCCAGAGCTGCTTGGCTTTGAAAGAAAATGTGACTTGGTGCCTGGGTATCCACCAAGGTCTTCTCTGACAACCCTGCCGCAGGACCAGAGAGACCCTCAATTTAAGACATGCCTTTCTGTGCCTTTTACCCCATAATGACAGATATGGGCCGTGTCTATGGGTGGTAGCGCTAATGTCATCACCACAATTAAATGAAATCCAGATTGCTGTGGGTGAGAACGGAGGGGGAAAGGTCTTGCAGGCGGCAGGGGTGACCCAGCCCACAGACACAGTGGGACATACCCTGGGCATTCAGCTCAGACACCTCAGGAACAGGTACAATCGGGGGACCCATGAGAGATGTTATCTGCATGGCAAATTGAAGTGTCTTTGTGACTTTTTCCTAAACCAGCTGATTTGGACAGTTGTTGGGTTTTTTTTTTTTAACCCCAATTTGACCTTTTCCTCTCATGATAAAAACGGAGTGTTCCGGCACTGTGAAATGTGACTCTATGCTTAACAGAGATCCATCAGAGGTGGCCAGGACGAGCCATACAGGGTCTCGGGGACCTGAAGCTGGGGGGAAGTTGGCTATTTCGCTTTGGGTGTCCCGCAAAGTAGTCACCAAACCTTGTGCAAAAAAAAAGACCAATTGCCATAGGGCTACTTGAGGCATATAAATATGCAATGTTTGGTTATCGGAAGCAGGTGTTTGGGCACATTATTACAGTGATCTTGTGTTTCCGTAGACACAGTACATTTTTGCCACCTGGAAGTTGGCTCAGTAAATGTTTTCTATTTCAACAGCCAAGGTACTTCCAAACAGCCAAGAGTGTTTAGGTGGGAGAAAAGAGCCAGGTTCAATTTCCCAGCTGAGCATCCTCCTCTGGGACCAGCTGTGTCCACCGTGGTCCTTTCTCTGAGGCATTAAGCTGTCTGCTCCGGCGGCGGCGGTGGTGTCTCACAGCCAGTGGACAGGTGGCTGTGATATATGCCCCTGCACCAGGGAGCAGAGGGAGCCGGAGGAAAAATGAAGGGATTTGCCAAGCCCTTTGTGCAGAATAGAGACCTCAACCAGAGGTAGCAGGAGAGGAGCCATTCATCTTGGAGCTATCACTGCGGCTCCTTCCCCTGGGCAGTCTCACGACCTGTTTTCTGAGCTCTGGGTCAGAGCAGTTCATGCGTCAGAGGCAGCACTTAGAGCCAGGATTTCTCAACCTTGGTACTGTGAACATAAGGCTGGGTGATCCTGTGCCATGGGGCGGGGGTCGGACGAGGGGCTCCCCCATGCGTGGTAGAATGCAGAGTTGCATCTCTGGCTGCTAACAGCACCTCCCACCCCCAGTTCAGACAACTCCCAATGTCTTCACTGATTGCCAGGGTTCCCCTGGGGATGCATCACCCTCTGCTGAGAAACGCTGATCTAGGAAATGTGATGTCTGAGACACCTGAGCCCAACCATGGTTGGCTGCAGGAAACAGGTGCGTGGCTTGCAGTGAACGGTGAGTTCCTGCACGCTTTGTGTTCAAAAAGCACACAAGAATGATCAAGAGGCTGGCTCTCCCAGGTTAGTAATTACCTCGGGTGTTATTAATTCTTCCAAAGCAACCCCGGCGAATGAGCCAGGGCTGTGTCAATCCCTCTGCCATGGCTGATTGATTCCGCTCCCCCATTGTTTGTAATTCCGTGTAATGTCTGATTACACGGAGAAGTACTCAATGCAGCGCTCGACTAAGAGTCATTACAAATAGGTTTATTCCTCCGCTGTAAGTAGGAATGGACGAAGGGTTTTATATTACCTTATTGAAATAAATGTTTCACCCAGGAGGAAAATGCTTCAGCACTGCACACATAGATACCGTAGAGCAAAAAACCAAAATAAGTCAATTCAGCGACCTAATGATTTTAACGATGCTCATCGATGATTCGCTTTATTTCCATCAAATAAATTACAGCATCAATTCAGTAAAAATTTTTTAAAAATACCCTTAAGTGATAGGTATAATTCTTCTCACCAGGATTCTGGGGATGGGTCCGTTGGATGTATACGGTATTTGCTCCTCTCAAAAATCTATATCACAAGCTCCCTGCCCGTAGTGGGGACAAACCCTGACAGATACAAAATGGTCTAAAACCAAGAGTCTTTCAGCCCAGTGCGTGTCTGAGTCCCTGGCAATAAATCAGGACCCTGGGTGGCCTATTCCTTTCTACGGGTTGCAACGTTGTCTGAAAGGCACCTGGTCACGCTAACGTTGTCTGTTTTCTGTAATGCCATGTTGTCCTCAAGCACCACCACCATAAAATGTCGAGCATGAGCCCATCAGAGAGGGACGAGGGGACATTGTGGAGGAGATGAATGAGAGGCCCAGGAAGATAAGGAGCCAGCCAACTGCAGCCAGCTACCAGACAGCATTGTGCCCCCCGGAGGGGTATCTGGGGCTCACTTCAAGAAGGGAGGTGCTTTATGCAGGGACGGTGCTTCTGATTTTAGGGATGGAGTCACCATTTGACACATCAGGATGCACTATTCTAAAGGGGCCCGAGGAGGTGACTTTTCCCAGTAGCTATGTGAAATCCGAACTTAGCTCTCGTGATGATGTAAGAGTCGGAAGCAGAGACTCTGCAGCTCAGCATCCTGGGTTCAAATCCTGCCTATGCCTCAGGCCCGTTATTGAACCTCTCTGTGCCTCTCAGTTACTTCCTTGGGGGAAAAAAAGAAGATTGATAATTTTCCTACATCATAGGTTTTCATAAGGATTAAGCAAGTCAAAATATATAAAAGGCCCAGAATAGAACCTGGCATATAATAACTTTTATATAATTTTGATAGGATCTTTTTAATGCTGGATAATTTCCTTTTTTTTTTTTTAAGCAGGTTTAGACCAAAATCATTTTGTGCAGAGTTTCCTAGCTTAGTAAGTGAAAGTAAGGAAAGTTCTGTTCAGTTAAATTTTAATTTCAGGTCAACCAAAAAAATAATATTGTTTTAGCATAAATATGACCCATGCAGTGTCGAGGAATACATTTACTTAAAGAGAGAGAGAGAGAGAGAGAGAGAAACTGACAGATGCTACATAGTTCTTGTTGGACCTTGTTCCTTAAAAGAGATAAACATGCCTTATTTCACATGTTGATATTTTAAATAGTGTCTTATGATGTGTCCTCCAGAAAGGCCATAAGATATTTTTCTGGCCTTTATAAACCAACCCTCCAAAACCCATGGAAAAAAAAATGTCTCCTTCAAATATTCCCAAATGTATAACTTTCACTACCTTCTCAAAAAATCTCACAGGAATGCTCATTTCTTCCAATAGTAAGCTTTTTTTTCCCCATTAATCCTTTCTCTCACCTTGCAATTTTTATTCCATTTGTTGTGCTAATTAGCGGATACTTACACGTTTTGTTTTCTGAAAATGTGTTCTCTGTATGTCTCTCTTAGACTTCCAAATGAGTCATTTTATAACTTGATACAAAAAAACTGAATATTTTTCCTGTTGCAGTTTCCATATGAGGGCCCCACCACCACCACCACCACAAAAGCTCATGGATGAGACGCTACAAGAAGGTTTAGAGGTGAAATGGTGGGATTACGAGAGCCTCAACCTGATCCGTGAATGAATCCACTGATACGGAGTCACTGGCTGGAGGAGGTAGGTCACTGGGGGTGTGGCTTTGGGGTTTACATGTTGTTCCTGGTGTCCACACCCTGACATCATGATGTTCTGCCTCACCTTGGACCCAGAGCTAGGGACTCAGCCATCTGTGGGCGGAGACCTCTGAAACTGTGAGCCCCAAATGAGCTTTTCCTCCTGCACGTCATTCTCGTCCAGTCTGCGGGTCACAGGAACAAAACAGGGGACTAAAACGTTTCCCGTAGAGTCTCTCTCTCTCAACGCCACACACACACACACACACACACACACACACACACACACACACACGGAGTGCTCTGAAAGGACCAATGTCATGTAAAAGATGTCCTAAGTTCCCCATGAGGCTGTGGTTGTTGCTCATGGTTCAGTGACATGGGCCGGAATGGCTTTGAAAGGTAGCTGAATGAAGAGGGTTGTTGAATGGTATCCCATTGAGGTGGAAATAATCTAAATTGTTGTGGGTTTTGTTGTTTGTTTGGGCAGATGTGGGTCCCGTCATGTCCTCTTTCTCCGAGTCAGATTTGCTTTGGGAAAAATATGAAGACCTCTGGAATTCCCAGCTTAATTCTTGGACACACGATACTGGCTGGCTTGTGCCCACAGTTCGTGATAAAAATGACAATGTTATTTCCTAGGACATATATTATGTCAGTAGTAAAACAAAGTAAGTGGATCTTTTAAAAAATATATTTTAGCACATCATGTAATGCTTTTGAGTAAAAGATCTGTTAGAGATGCACAAGAGTGGCCTTTCCCCTTCCTCTTCTGACAGGAAGAGCTTCTGATGTGACCCGGGAATGCATGTTCCCAGACCTTTATTGCAGACGGTTGTATTCAAAACCAACATTTTGATTTCCCAAAACTCTGGAGTCACGATGCTAATTACTTCGCATTCTGTCTCACGGTCTCATTGCATGTCAACTGCGACTCCTACCTCACCTCCTCTCCTGTGTTCACACTTAAAACCGACACCCCACGGTGTGATTGGATTTCCCAGGGTCACCTAGCTGGAGAATATCTGCCTTTCCTCCTCCTTTATAGGAACAGGCTGAAGAGGAAGGAAATATATATATATATATATATATATATATATATATATATATATATGCTAGGGCCTCTTTAGAAGGAAATGCCAGAGGATTGGAGGCCTTATTATTAATAACATGTGCCGGGTTGTCTTGGCAGGGATGTGTGGGCTCCGAATTCGCAGTCACTTTGGTGCTACATTGTGGGTGGTTCCAACCGCCTTGGAACAAAGTGTTGACAGAAAAATAGCACCAACCCAGCAGGACTCTTCACAGAGGAGTCTCACAAGGACACGTGGCTGTGTTCCTCGGCACCCCTCCCGTGACAAATGACAGAACCGAACCCACATTGGTCTAGGGACCAATGAGAAGTGACGTCCTCACCTGACCAGGGAATACAGGTGTTTAGACCCAGGCACGCCCAATCCCGTGGTGGAAAGAAATGCCATCCAGACTCTGGATCAGGGTTCAACTTTATTTTCAGATAGACTCTTTCCAACAGAGTGACAAGGTGGCTCCCAGAGTCCCTGAGCAAATGTCATTCTCGTGATTCCAGAGAGAGAGAGAGAGAATGATTCCCGAGAGCACCAGGAGAATGGCTGGGGGGGGGACTCTTATTGGCCTCTGGGGGGGGGGGGGATGCCCGTGAAATGTACCTTGACCAACCACAAGTGAGAAGAACACAGTCATCTGATTGGCCACCCTGAGTCACATGCCCAGTGTGGAGCCGGGGGACAGGAACCCTCCACCAGGGCTGCACAGACAGAGCAGCAGAAACGCCCGAGAACGTCCCACGCTAGGGCCCAGTGCACGGTCTGTTGTGAATATAACTATTTACACACCCGTGTGCATGCTGCTGCATCTATTCCTGAGAACGGCCTGATTTAATCTGTTTTTTTTTTTTTTTTCCTCTGTGAACAAAACACAGAGGCAAACCAGTTCTGTGGCTGTCCTTGCTGGTGTATTAACGTCCTAGAACGTTGTGCCTGTCTCAGCTTCCGGGGGCACTCACTTGGTGTCATAGGGTTGTTTCCTTGATGGCAAAGAAGGTTGTTGAGTATACGTGGAACTGACCTCTGTCCCTCGGGGATGGGGAAGATAGATGGTCTGGGGTCTCGGTTAGGGTACTGACCTGCAAGAGTCTAGGAGGCTGAAGAAGGCCTTCGGGGGCTCCTTCGCTCATGCATCCAACATCTGTGGAGTCTAGTTGTGGGGCAGACCTGGTTTTGTGCCTGGTGCTCGGGAAGCAGGAAATGGCCCTGTGGTCCCAGAGATTGCATTCTGGCCATCTGGAGAGCAAACAGATGAGTAAAACCAACCAGGGAAGTAGGAACGGGGTCATCCCAGAGTCACTGAGAGGGTGACTCGGAAGGAAGTCAGGAAAGGAGTCTCTGGGGGAGACCAGTCTGGAGCCAGAGAAGGAGCCGTAGGAAGCCACTGGAGTCGTGCAGGGATAAGGGTGGCATCTGCCGGTTGGAGATCAGAGTAGACACGTCCCGCAGGAAAGACTGAGAGGACCTGCTAAGGCAATGGAGGTGGAGACGGAGGACAGAGACGTTACTTCTGGCTTTGTGGCTTTGAGTTGCTGATGTTCTCTCTGACTTGGGCTTCCCACGTGCTACGAAAATATAGAGGAAAGAGCCAACATGGAAGCCCCATGGGAAAGAGTAGAAGGAGCCAAATGACTCAGTTGTGGCTTGGTTCTGTTCATGGTAGTTCACTTTCTTGGTAAAGTCACCTCTACTCTCTGAACCTCAGTCTTCTCTTCTAATTTTTTTTTGTGTGTGTAGATGGGCACAATACCTTTATGCGGTATTGAATGCAGTGCCTCCCACGTGCTAGGCAAGTGCTCTACCCCTGAGCTCCAAGCCTAGTCCTGAGCCTTGGTTTTCTTGACTGTAACATGCCATTGCTGATCACCTACTTCAAAAGATAGACCTTAGGACGGAGCATTAACTGGGCAGGCAATGAACTGCGATATAAATGGAAATTGTCATCCTTAACCTTGCTCATGTCGAAAGGTGTGGGCAGGGACAGGGGTCATTGTGTTATTTTCGTAGAATTCCAGTGAACAATCGTCCATGAGTGGTATCTGTTAATTCCTATGCTGGATTCCAGTTCGATAGCTGTAGTTCCAAAACAAAAAACAATTTTTTAAAAAAAAATCTTGATGAGTATGTCTGGTTTGACATACTGAGAAAAATAGTCTCCCCCAAAGAGGGAGAAAGGATCAATTTGGAAAGATCCTCATGCTGGGCACTGCATTGAGTTCAAAGACAAATAAAATCTAGTTCAAAGACAAATAAAATCCAATAAGAGATAAATCGGACGGGAAATATTAGGAAGGGCATATTACATTCCAGACACGTTCCGAAAAGGTAAAGATTTTCAGACTCGCTCCCTGTTCCTTCAAACCTGCTCGTAGCTTGTAACATACTCTAACCCTCTGGAACTCCTAGGGTCTTCCCCGCCCCTCAGGAGCATCACAAGCCTCAAAAGAGAATAAGCAACGTGGAACCTTTGCAGAAGCCCATAGCTGAGCACGTCTGGTGCTGAATTTTAAAGAGAAGGAGAAAAGTGGATTTGTTGCACCACTGACCAGCGGTATTAATAATCGTCTCAGTTGCACATAACATCCAAATAAACCCAAAGCCCGTCTCAGTCCGCTGGGCAGAAGGAGGGTCTGCCTAAATCTGGGTAGTAAACACCTAGGAATGTTCTAGGGTATTGACTACTAATTATTGCACCTGGTGAGTGGATGGCTCGTAGCCAGAATCTGATGGGCAGTTTGAAGACAAGAGGAATAGAAAGACCTTTGAGGATAAGGCGGCGAGGGATTTTTTGCTTATTGAGGATTCCACAGTATATGGAGGGGGAAAACCAGTGGGTCTCCGTGGGTAATTTGGGGAGCCCTGAGAGGGCAAAGCATATTAATCATCTCCTGCTTCGAGTAGTCACCTCTAGGACAGAAAAAATCCCTCATCGTTTGCAATTAAAGAGAGATTGCAGCTTTTCTCCTGGATCTCTCCTGGTGTCTCCATGAATCTCACACATGACTGAGCTGTTTAAAAAGGCAAGAATGATTGCAGGAACCGTGCACTGTGCCAGATCAACCTCGGTTTCCTTTCTGAAAGGGTTTCCAGAACAAAGGTATTATGGCTCAGGTATGAAGTGTCCCCCCGAAGCTCCTGTGTGTGACAATACAAGAAAGTTGAGAGGTGAAATGACCCAGTGATCAGAGCCTGACGCTAATCAGAGCATTAATCCACTTGAATGGATTATCTAGACAGATAGGGTGTGGCTGGAGGAGGTGGGTCATGTGGGTGTGTCTTGGGGGCTGATATTTTGTCCCTGGTGAGCAGAGCTCTCTTGGAGGTCTCTCTCCGTGTCTGATTGCCGTGTCCTGAGCTCTTTCCTCCACCATGTCCTTCAGCCATGACCTCCTGCCTCACCCCAGGGCCAGAGATACGGACCTGGCCAACGGTGAACGGAGACCTCTGAAATCATAAGCCCCCAAATAAACTTTTCCTCCTCTGGATTGTTCTCATCAGATCTTTTGGTCACAGCGATATTTAAAAAGTTGGCTAGAACAAAAGGATAAATAGATACAGGAGAAATGGTCCACAGCCAACCTCTGTATTTGAGGGGTTCCGCATCCACAGGTATATCCAACCACGGAAAAAAAAAATATTTGGAAAAACAATTATACTGAGCATAGACAGACACGTTTTATGTCATTATTCCTTTAACAATATGATCTGAATCTCCACATAGCATTTACATTGTTTGGGTGTTATAAGGAATCTAGAGAGAAGTTAAAGTCTATGGGAGGAGATGTGAAAGTTATGTGCAAATACTGTACCATTTTATAGAATCGACTCAAGTATCTGTGGATTGGCGTGTCTGCAGGAGTCTTGGGACCGATCCTCCATGTTCACCAGGGAATAACTGCATGCAAGGTCGGACAAGGCA